GTGAGCAGGAGCAAGAATAGTGAGTGGTGCTGAGAAGGAAAGCTTGGAGAGGGGCACTCTCCATAACATGACAATTTAACTTGATGACAGACTTCTCTGGCTAAACTAACCACATCTACTGGCCACATCCATCCCGTACGCTGCCAGTTGGCAACCCACAGTATGGGAGAGAAAAAGAAAAAAATCCTTTCTCTGGAAGCAAACTCCAAAGTTGGCTATATTCTTGAATCAGTACCTGTCAGGATAAACAAAAACCCTTTCTTCTTAAGAAAGAAAGTTCTGTACTGCAGCAAATAAACGGAAGCTAAAAAGAAAACCAGGTATAAAGAGTGTGATTTAAGAATTTGCTGTCTGTGCATAAATTTAGGGTGGTGGCTCTTGCATGGAAGAGAGATCTCTGAGCTCTACTTTAAAGGATGCTTGGTGACCTACAAAGGTAACACACTCAATAACATCAGGCACTGATGTTCTCATTGTGAAGCTGATCCCGAGATGCAAATGCCCCCGATCTCCTACTGTCTGATTTAGGTCCCTGCTATATCCCTTTGCGTAGTCTGAACAGTCTATTCACTGGACAGTTTTATAGTAACAACAAAAGTAATAATATGTTGGTAATATTGTCAATGTCTACCCTGGAGAATATCAGTGAATCATGAATATGGATTTAAATACAATACATACAAATAACAATAGCATGCATTTATTGAGCAAGTACTATGTACCAGGTACTACTTAAGGCTCTTTACAATAATTAACTCACTTAATCCTCATAACTTGTAAGATACCATTACTCCTGCTTTTCAGCTTAGAAAACTGGGACACAGAAGGTTACTTGCCCAAGGATAGCCTACTGGGAAGTAAGATTCACACTGAACCAATGTGGCACAGACCTGTGCTTATAGTCTGTCTGAAAAATGAATCTTTGTAGCAGACTGATGGTAATTTTTAGATAATAGAAATCTTTTGTAAATCACAGAATTTGATTATTACTGTACTTTCAAAGGTGTCTTGGTTACCTCTCATTTATTAGGTACTCACTGATGCATAAATGGACAAAAATGTCATAGAGAAAGACTATGATTGCCATGGTATTAAAGATAAATTTGGAATGATGCTCAGAGCATATATTCTAGAAAACTTTTAGAGGATTTGGGGAAAACTATGTCCAGGTAGTATCTTTACACATGTGACATATGATAATATTGGAGAAAGGGCTTGCCTGGTTTGGGAGTAATATCCAAATACTAATTCTTACAACAATGAAGGGTACTGCTTTACTGCTTTACATCCCATTACCATACTTAGTGTGAATGAAATTGAAGAGTGGATATTGGTGGCAAGTTCAAGCATAGATACTGTTTTGAATTGTCTTAAGAAATCAAAGGGCAATAGCGGTAACTAGAACATTCTACAACTATTGACTGGTAAGATATTTAGCTTTTGGGGAAGTCCTAAATTAGCCCAGAATCATTTTCAAATGCAGTTTTGTAATTTCAGTGATGTGTTACATGAAACTCGAAGAGCCACAAAATAATTCACGTGAAAGCGAAGAGTGTGTTGGTTTAAAAGATGAGCCTGCATTCTTCTCCCTTTACCCAGATAATTCTTAATCATCTTTCAGATCCCAGCGGAAATGTCTCTTTTGTGGTTTTGCTTTCCTTGATACCCTAGATGAGGTTAGACTTACCAATACCCCAACTTCTACATGCTCCTAAAGAGATCTATATTTTCCTTTCAAGTTAAATTTTAATCTTGGTGAATCACTTAAATTATGATTTGTTCATACCTCTTTTCTTTTTGAGACCATAATTATATTTAACAATTATTGACTCCTTATCCTATGTAGCTCTTTTCTCATTGCTTTGGACAATGTGTGGCAAAGTCCTCACTGAATCCTAGGAGTCTAATAGGTATTTGTGAATGAATAATGCATGAGGAGTGAGTAAATGAATGAATGATTTGACTAATTCTCACCTCACTAAGTCACCCCTGGCCCAGCAGTGTACTGTGTACCTTTATGTTACAAATCATTTAACTTTAATTTTGCCTGGTAGGTGAAGTGTCCCAAGAATTTGTAAAGATAAAACTGTGCTTTTGGGGGTTCTCCTACTGCTCCCCGACTCGCTAAGAGTCAGCAGCTGGAAAAAGGTTCATTTTTGTTTTTCTTTGTAACTCTAGAGGAATCCTGAATGAGCCCCGCCAAGTAATCTCAGAGACTGAGCCACAGATAGACAAAGATGGAGAACACACAGCTCACCCGCAGAGCACTGTTTCTCATCACTAACTGTGCTTTCTCTCAGTCCTGGCTTTTTATGCTCAGGATTCTGGGAGAGATTTCACCTTCCTTACTTCCTAAGGGATATCCAGTTTCCTGGTCTGGGAGCTGAGAGCAGAATTAGTCAATTAGAAGGTTAACACATAATTGTAGGCACTGGGTGTTTGGAGACGACCCTTGACCATTTGCTAGTTAACTGAATTAATATTGGCCAGTTATAGATTTTCTGCTTGCAAAATTGCCGGCAGATTTTTCTGACTCCTGGGTCTGCGTTCTGTGTATGTGCCACTTGGGATGCCAGCATGATGATTGCTTTCAGAGTGATCTAACCAGAGCCTGCTCTCAAGACAAGGGAATCCATGACTCACAAGCAGAATCGTACAGATGCCAGACCACAGCATTCTTTTCCCTTTGATTTGAGGGATATGATGTTGGTCAGGGTGATGACTCCCCCATTTCGATTTCTCTGATGGTGTTCAGGTCAGCCACATGGTGAACCTCTTGAGATTGATTCTTGCTCCCTTCTTTGGGGTTCAGTGCCTTTCAGAGGGCTGATATTTAGAGAGAAGCCCTGGTTCCACAGCTTCCAACCTTTTGACACTGCTTTGAGTTCTCTGGTGGGAATGATAATGAATTTTCTTCAACTGTCTGTGTGCAGTGGTTAGGATTTTGCGGTCTGATATTGAAGTTTTGTTTTCTAAGAAACAGACACAGAGTAGAGGATTTGAGTGCAAGTAATTTGAGTGATGGCAGAAATTGGTTTAAGAAAAATACTAGTTGGGTGCAGTGGCTCACGCCTGTAATCTTGACACTTTGGGAGGCCGAGGTAGGTGGATCACTTGAGCTCGGAAGTTCGGGAATAGCCTGAGCAACATAGTGAAACCTCCTCACTACAAAAAAAGTAGAAAAATTAGCTGGGCATGGTGACTAGTGCCTGTAGTCTCAGCTACTTGGGAGGCTGAGGTGAGAGGGTCGCTTGAGCCCAAGATGTTGAGGCTGCAGTGAGCCATGATTGAACTCCAGCCTGGGCAACATGGCAAGACTTGGTCTCAAAAAAAAAAAAAAAAAGAAGTTTTAAAAGTTAAAAAAAAAAAACATAGAAAAAGTACGAATAGGGAGTGAGGAAATAAGTCAAGGAAGAGAAGGCAGGTAATGAATGTGAGTTATCAAGCCAGATACTCTGGTGGACATTGGTGCTCAGTCGCAGGTGGAAACTGGGAGGCAAAAATGCGTATCTCCAAGTGGTCTCACCAGAGGGGTAAGGGAGTTAGGGTATTTACATACCATTTCCCACCAGTTATTGATTAAGGACCACTCCTAGGATGTTAATTTCCAAACACTCTCTTATGGCACTATGTTCAGATAAAATACCCTTCCACAAGCTTCAGAGACATATCTCAGATGAAGAAAAAAAAAAAAAGCAAAGTCTTGCACATTGACACAGAAGGTCTGAGGGGAATGGGTAGGGCTCTGACAGAGTGCCTTTCAGGACACTTGAGCCTAGAGTCAGATGCTGGCTGCACCCATTCTAACTGTATGATCTTAGGCAAGCTTATTAACCTTTCTAGAATTTTGGATTCATCTTCTATAAAATATACCTTATAACAATACACATTTCATAGGCCTGCTGTGGAGATTAAATTAGATTATGTATATGGTGAGTTTAACACAGTAATTACCAAATAATAAGGGCTCAAAAATGGTAGCTTCCATTTAAGTGTTATGGAGCCTCTTCCCTGTCCCTGGATGTGTGGTAGGTGCTCAGTAGAACTGGTGGTTGGTTGTGGTGGGGAGGTAATCCCTGTTTTTATGGGGTTGTAGCCTTTGCGTACTAAACCTTAAGACCATTTTTTATTTCACTAAGTTACACCTTGCCCAGGAGAGAGTCACTTACATTCCATACATTATGTTCCAAATCATGTAACCTAATTTTTTGACCGTTGGATGAAGTGTCTCAAGCATCTGCAAAAACAAAACTGTGCCTTTGAAAGCAATGGTAAATTTTAAGTTTTATAGTAGCCAAGTTTACAAAAGGAATAAGAAACTGATGACATTAATTTTAATAACATATATTTAGCTTCATATGTAAAATATTGTCATTTCAATATGTGATTAATATAAAATTATTGACTATTTTACATTCTTTTCCTTATTTAGGCATCAAAATCCAATTTGTATCTTACACTTACAACATGTCAATTTCAGACCTATGACCTTTAAAGTACTGAGTAGCCACCAGTGTCTCATGGTCACCAATATTGGGCCACAGTGAAGGCTTAACAGGCCCTGGATTCCTTTTAGAAGTAAATTCCAACAGAATAGTTACATTTTCTCTTTCCTCCTCTTCATAGATGACAATGCTTCTTTGCTTGTATAAAAATGAAGTTGGTTTTAGCTTAGGCATCATGGAAAATTGACAGTTTCTGTAATAAAATTTCACACATGGAAACCATGGTGAGAATCTTAGCAGGTGTAAAAATCTGACGAAGTTATTTCTTTAACTGCAACTTAATGGAAACTGCAGCAGCTGTTCCATTTGCGTGTTCTCCAGATCTCAGTGCCAGAAAGAATTGTTGGCAGCCACTGGAAAAGTATCAACTTACCTCTTCATTTGGGAAATGAAATTGAAACCTCAGCTTATTTCTAAAAGTTGCAGATTTGGTGAAAGTTAGCAGGGCAAACACATAAGCCGCTATTAAAATATTGATGGCTTCGGTTTTCTCAGGTGCTGCTGCTAACATCTGCAGAAGATTTGGACTGCACTCCTGGATTTCAGCAGAAAGTGTTCCATATCAATCAGCCAGCTGAATTCATTGAGGACCAGTCAATTCTAAACTGTAAGCAATGTCACTCGAAGATGCTTTTAGACTCTGCTCTTATTTGAATTTGCTAATGTTTATGACTGTGTCTCAGGATGTGGTATTTCCTAAACTAAATGTTTTCTGATTATTTTTCATATGTCACTGCTTGACCCAAGATGGAAATTCTTGAATTAGGGGCTGGTCAACTTAGAGGTTAATAGAGTGATATGCATCTCTTTTTTGTATTTTATCATCAGTGGGTATTTGCAGACTGCTCTCAGAAAAGGGAGCTGTCAGCCTCCAATGAGAGTTCTACACTGTGCAAAGGAAATGAAATTCATTTCCCCTGGGCAGACCCCCAAGAGCAAAATCATTGCCTTCTTGCAGATTGCTCTTCTACCTGTAGTTTCTCATACATAGCATTAGATCAAAATAATGGCGAGAGTATGACATTGGCTTCCGGGAATTTTTAGACATAGGAATCAAAAACTCTTATTCTTAAGGCTAACAAGATGGTCTTTAGAAAGATTCAAAACCTGTACTGATTATTCTGTGGATTAAACTCAAATCCTCCCAAATTCCAATTGATTTATTTACAATATGCCTCCCTTGTATCTGTGGTTATGATCTCTTTCTATTTTTAATGTCAATATTATATTGTTTTATCTTTAAGAAGTGTTAGGGTACATTGCTAAATGCATAACAAGTACAGTGTTAGTACAATGGAATTTAAAATTGATGGTAGACAAATAACCATTGAATTGTAGGCTCTTGAGTACCTTGCTTAACAGTTGGAAATGAAGAATATGGAAACAATTGATCTAAACTGATCAGATGCAGCCAGACGTGATGGCTCACGCCTGTCATCTCACCACTTTGGGAGGCCAAGGAAGATGGATGGCTTGAGGCCAGGAGTTCAAGACCAGTCTGGGCAACCTGGTGAAACCCCATCTCTACTAAAAATACAAAACTTAGCTGGGCATGGTGGCACACGCCTGTAGTCCCAGCTACTCGGGAGGCTGAGGCAGGAGAATCGCTCGAACCCAGGAGGTGGAGGCTGCAATGAGCCGAGATCGCACCATTGCACTCCAGCCTGGGTGACAGAGTGAGACTGTGTCTCAAAAAAATAAAATAAAATAAAATAAGCTGATCAGATACTCCAAGGTCTTTGCAAGGAAGGTGATTCCACATTGGCCCTTGTGGTCTCAGGTTTGCCTTTGACACTAGCGAAGTTCCTTCAGTCCTATGGTATATGGCTAACAAGTTTAAAGGAAAGAAAAAACAAAGGCACACTGGACTGGATTATTCTGTGAGGCTGGGACACACTGGAGGAGTCGAAAGGAACACATTAATGAAGACGCGCTGTTGAGCATCAAGGGAGCTGTCCAAGGTGAAGCCTGTGCACCTCCTGATGAAATGACGCCAATGAAATCGTTTCAATAATTAGAGTCTGTAATGACAAGGTGCAGGGCTGGCACAATAAGTGAATTCCAATATGTGATTTCCTGCTAATTTGATCTCTGAGTATGACTCCTGGGTCTGGCCATCAGGAACCCTCATTTATCTTTTCATTTTTGTATTTATCAGAATCAATATATTTCAACAGAACTTGATTTGTGAGAACCATTTTTCTGGCTCTCCTCTCCTCTCTTCCTGTATCTTCCTTTTATTTTTTTTTCTAAGTGATTATCCCAAATGGCATCTATGTTAACATGCTTGGAAATGCGAAGCCACCCTGAGTATGGAAATTAATAGAGTTGGTATGCAAAGTAGACCTATAAATGTGATTGCTTCTGTAATCTTCACGATACCAAACAGCTTTTAATTTTCTGCTGAGAAGCTGGAAACAATCATACTATGGGGGATCTTTTTAATTTAAAGTAGGCCATACTGTACATTCCATATCACAGTTGTGTGTGTGTGCGTGTGTGTGTGTGTGTGTGTGCGCGCGCACGCTTTAATCCCCTAAGTAATTAAGTGGGTTATGGTTGTTGGTTCTGGGTAAGCTAGTAAATGCTAAATGGGACTAGGTTGATTATGAATGATAACACGTTCAGAAAAAAGTCAGTGACACGAGAATTGAGAACACTTAAATTTTTATGCTTGTGTATGAGTTGTTGGGTAAGCAAAATTTGAGTAGCCCCTCTCAGTGAAACCGTATGTCCATGTATATGACTAGAGTAAAAAAACAAATACAAAGCAGATATGGTTAGGTACTTTCAAGTTCATCTCAAAGCAATGAACATATTATGAGTATAGAGCCTGCAGATAAGGTTAATTGTGCCTAAATGAGGAAGAAAATTGTCATAGACTTGAGAATGCCTATTGAAAATAGTTTAGGAAAATCTGGATTTCCAGAAGTGGTAGCAGTGCTTTGCTTTCTTCCATTTGCAAGTAGAGGTAAAAAGCCCCAAATATTGAATAAACTTTGATACCTAACCAACCAATATTTTCAACCAGTCTTGCTCTCCTCTCTCTCTCTCTCTCATTCTCAGTTTATTTCGTGTATGTCTTATAATGCAAAACAAAAACCTTCTGTCTCTGAAAAATGTGATTAATCAAGAAACCAATGAGTGATGTGTGCTATCAAATTGAAGACTCTACTGGCACAAGGCTAAATCTGAATGAAAAATGAAAAGAACCAAGTAGAACCAGAAAATTTAAAACGCATAGGTTCCATTTCCTGAATCATTGTATACCAAAGATCCAGGAAATGGTTAGGGATATTTTAGTCTCGTCTAAATATAGGTCAGTGTTGTACACAATAAGGAAACTAGATTAGTAACATCATCTTGTGCCCTACTCATGACATTTGCACTTTACATTTTTCCTTTATCTTTGCAATATTTAAGAGCTTTGGTTACCAATCATTGTGAACTTTTGTGTTGCAGAGGGGGTAAACACAGCATAACCAATCAATTGATGTCTACACTCTTCACTCTTCTTTAAAGTTGTCTGAAAGTGCTGTCTCTTTGCCTGACAGACATAGTATATCTACCCCTACCTTAGACTTGTATTCATCCAATTCTGTGTTCAGCTTTTAGCAGGTTATGGGGAGTGTTTATTCTGTGGATGGCTTCCTGCTATCTTTGTTCAGACAGTAATATTTCCTTTTATCCTTTTTCATCTTCCTCCTCAATTTTCAATGACTTATCTTTTTCTACTTTAACTGTTACTAATGGTCACCTCCACTCCTTTTATTTCCCTAATATTTTATTCACTGTTATCTCTGATACATCTTTCTCTCAGTTGTTCTAAAGCCTTTTATTTCCTTCACATCTGAATCACTCTTTATTCTACTCTCCTTTCCACTAACTAGACTTGCTTTCGTCTTAAAAAAGCCATTTTTCAACAAGCTGCTGGGATCAAAACATAGCATTCGGGTATTTCTTCTAACATAACCAGGGGGGCTCTTCACTGCATCTTTCAGAGAATGATGCAAAGCCCCCAACTCATGAAAACTTGTATAAAACTTTCTTGGCTTTATCTCATTCTTGAAAGTTTATCTGGGAAAACGTGATTCTTCCCATTTTTCAATGAGAAACACAGAAAGAAAGGAGAAGTCAGCTTAGAAGGCAACAACTCAGAAAGGAGGCATCCGTTTAAGGTTTTTGAATTCAGAAAGGAATCTGTAAAAAGTTTGTGGGAGGGGTTTTCTAGAAGTCTGGCACACACAACTCCCTCAAATTGCCCAGCATGGTAGCTCTTGCTTTTCCCCAAACATGACAATTGTGTGATCTGGGAGCTACAGAATTGGACAGCAACCCTGGTTACATCCTGACACACAGAACAGAAGATCTCCAGTCTTAGAAGAATAGTTGTCTTGGGCAACTGACCAGCCACCCAGCTGGGATGGGAAGATACCAAGTGATAAAATCTGACTATCCTATGTTCTGCAAAATTATAAAACAAAATAGTCTGCTTTGCTACCATCAGCTCAGACAGATTTTTTCAGCAAATATAAAAATGTGTGGTCATTGAGCTCATTAGGAGAAACCATACCCTTGACCTCCAGCCTCTATTAGTAGGGGATGAGTCCAGTCTTTGGTGTCCAGAAAGGAGACCCTCATTGGCCACAGAGCCACCATTAGAACTGTACTTTTTTTTACCCTGTTAATTCTTTATGGATCACTCCTCTTAGGCCACCCACATGCAAACACAGACATATAGATACAGAGAAAAATTGCAGCATCTAAGTTTACCTACAATACAACTTGCATCACATGTTTAGTAAAGAACTTACATTAACCAGAGCAGGCTAGGCTAGGCCATGGTGTCAAACAACCCCAGTGACTTAACACAATGAAAGTTTATTTCTCACTCAGATCATGCAGATGCAGTCGGGCTGGTCTCCTGGGTAACTCTCCTCCCAGTAGTTGCCCTCCATGCAAGAACCTGATGGCTGAGGCTACTTCCAGCTTGGTCTTGCCATCTTGTAGCTTCCAGCTTTTGTCACTGAGCTGGCAGACAGGGGAATAAGAAAGACTATGAAGAGGTCCCTACATGTGTTTAACTACCTCAGCCCCAAAGTCGCATGTATCATTTCTGCTCATATTCTGTTATAAGATCTAGTCATGTTGCCAACCTAACTGCAAAGGAGTCTGGCAAACAAGAAGAATACATGGGAATTGATGTGCAGGATCACAGTCTCTACAAAGATTCTAACAAAATGATGTTGCCTATATCAGAAAGAGACATAAATAGAGACAGAAATGGACCACAAAGGAGCCAGCTGTCTCGGAGTAACCAGGGCCTACATAAGATGAAGTTAGTCAGTTTAAGCAGAAGAGCAAGGTCGTGCACCTGCGACTATGTCCTGCTTTCCTTAGTAGAGAAATATTCCCACTGAACAGAATTAGCTTCTTAGAAACACTATAAGCCCCTTGCTTTGTGCTGTCTTAGAAACACTAGGGGAGAGACCGCACCTACTTGTGGTTCTAGTAAAGATGGACTCCAGTTGTTTCCTCCAAATGTTTACAATACTGTGGTTAAGATCACACAGTTTTAAACTCATATCGACTAGAACTCAAATGTGC